GCACATGCCCCCCCATGCCTCCCCCAGGAGTGTGTGCAGTGGCAGGACCCGTCCCCCCCCCCATACCCCTGGATGAACTGCCCGGGGCTCGGTCTCGTGCACTGCCCCACCCCAGCTGGGCAGCGCTTGCTTCTGCCTCACCCCCACTCTTTCTCTTACTGTGGGGGCCTTGATCTGCCCTCCCCACCATGCCCCTTCCTCCCCTCCCAGAGTTACCTGCTGGATGCTGGTTCCTGGCTGCACGCATGCTGTGACTGTGCGCATGCACGTGGTGTTTATCGGTGGCATTATTGGCCACGTCGGCCAAAAAGGCCAATTGCCATTAATGTCAATGTTCCTTTTATCAGTGCTGATACAATGTGGACTGATATATCGGTGTGCCTCTAGTTCTTTGTAATTGCTATTCTCTTGCCCACCCCACCTTCAGGATTCCATTTTTCATATCTCTGTTCAATTTTAAAGAGAAGCTAGGGAGATTAATTTGATCCCACTATTTCTAATGTGTTGATTATACAGGCAGCCCCGGCTTAGCGTTCTTAATTGGTTCCCAAAAAACTGAGCATTAAGTGAAACAAGTGTTAAGTAAAACCAAAAGTATCTGATAGCCCAGGAGGGCAACCACAATTGCTTTTAATGACCCAACATGGTGACTGCAAACATTATAACAAAACTCATTGAGCGCTAAGTGAAATCAGGTATCAATTTCAAAGGAGTGTTATAGCGCTAAGTGAAACAGCATTAAGTGGGGGTTACCTGTACTTATTGTTAGACGCCGACTCAATGCAGAGCCCAGTGACTTCGGAGAGACAGTCCAGTTACTCACGGATCCTGTCGCTCATTAGCCAGAGCAGAGCAGGGAGTACACACCAGTACGCGTTGCTCTCAACAGCTTTATTTACAATGGAGACAGCTTCAGACCAGCTCCCTCACCGATAGAATATGAGGAGCCGCCCTGGACAACAATTCCTTTCATCATTTATACACCTTGGTTCATACCTGTTTAACATTTACTCTGCCCTTGTCCCACCTCTGGTTCCACCGATTTCTCCTCCTATCTCAAGCTCTACCTCTATTTACTGTTTGCTTCCTTAGCATGGTATTGCCTGTACATTTCATTGATTTACATGCCTCTGCCAAGAGCACATGCGTAAGACTTTGACCCCCATCTTCTTTCGGTCACTTGTGGTTTCTTGCTGGTTCTTGCTGGTTTTCTTGCTGACTTCCCTATCTCCAAGACTGTATTTCTGCTTTTGTCTCCTGACACTTCTTGGTGGGCTAGTCTATTTTTAACACATCATGCGTTTTGCACCCTACCTCCCGTTAAGTTTCTGCTTACTTAAGCATGGGCTAAGTTAGTTGTTTTTAATATATCAGCTAGCCTTGTGACCAGCAGCCCTTTGCTGAGAAACAGGAAAAAGCCTTTATTTATCTGCACACTCAGCACCCCCATATTCCATATCGTTACCCTAGCATCCAAAATCCATATCGTTACCCTAACACTTATCTCCAGGGATCTGGGTTTTCAGTTTCCCCACAGAAAAATGGAATAAAATGCAGATTTTCCCTTTTACCTGAGGAAAATGCAGTTTTTTCATTTTAATAGAGAAACACATGGATTTTGCACTTTTGCAAAAAGCTCTCTGCAGGCTGGCAGAGTTCCAGCCTACAAGGAGGTGTTGGGAGCAGGAGGAGGGTGGTCAGGCAGGGGGCACCATGTGCATGTATATGAACATGGCTGCCAGGCAGCCTAGAGAGCAGCTCCCATAGGTAAGCTGGGGTGGGGCGGGGATTGAGGCAACTATAGGGAGGGAGGGAAGAAGGGAGGTGGGCAGGGCTGAGGCTGGAGCTGTTGCCCAGCTGGGCGGTGCGTGGAGTTTGGGACCCGGGGCTGGCATGCATAGCTGCAGGGCCCTGGTGGGGAGCAGGACAGGGCTGTGGGCAGCTCGTCTGGTGGGGTGAGGGCTTGCTCCCCACTGCTGTGCATACTTCTGAGGACCCAGAGGGGACCCGTGCACCCCAGATCTATGTGTGGGACTGGTGCAGGTTGCCTGCTGCGGCCTCGGGGCTCCCTGCCCTACTGCCCTTCCCTGGGTGCTCTGCAGCCCAGCAGGTGGGACCTGGTGCAGTAAGGCAGACCAGGGCTGATTGGGGAAGCTCCTTTCTGCTGCAGTCTCCACGCTGCCTTGGCGACGCGCCCCCTGCTTGCCCGGCAGCAGTGGGGGCAGCAGCACAGGGTTGTGTCCCTCGCTGCGGCAGAGCAGGCAGGGGGTAAGTTGCCAGGACAGTGCAGGGCTTGCAGTGGTAAGGAGTTTCCCCACCTGGTGCTGCTCTGCCTTGCCACACCAGGTCTCTCCCTCTGGGCTGTGGAGGCCTCAGGGGAGGGCAGCAGGGTGAGGAGTCTAAATCCCACTGAGCAGGATTCAGTGGGGAGTGTGAGGCTGCACCTGGCCCACTACGTGTTTCCCTCTGGCTGTGCTGCCCAATGGTGAGGGGGCAGCCAGGCTTCACACTCGCTCCACTGCCGCAGTTGGCGCCTCCCATGGGTGGCATCCAGGGCTTGGGCAGTGCTGCAGGGGGCAGGGGGCTACAGACCCAGGTCCCTAGCTTCATAGCTCTGGCAGCTGGGGGTAGGCCAGGGGCTGTGGGTGGGGGGCAACTGGCACCAGCAGGACGGGGGGGCTGTAGGGGGAGGGAGTGAGGGGCACCCGCAGGGCCAGGGTGGCTGTGGGGAGGAATGAGGGGCATCAGCTGGCCTGGGGGGGTTGTGGGGGTGGGGGTTAAAGGGCCCTAGCAGGGCCATGGGAACTATGGTGGGGAGTGAGGGGCACTGGTAGGGCTGGGGGGCTGTGGCTTGGGGTTGAGGGGCCTGGACCTGCGTTCTGTGAGCTAAAGGGGCAAGGGGAGCACTGATTTTCTATGATAAAAAACCCAAAATCAAAATTTATAGGTATTTAGAATTTATTTTATTATAGTGATTGAGGCACTGGTAGGCTTCCAAATTGCTTTACAATTGTAAATATAACACTAAAACATTGTATTCAGTTGATACCTATATATATAGTGGTGTTTTATTTTAATTGCGGTTTTGGGGTTTTTAATTAGAGATTTTGCAATTTTTCTATCAGAGAATTAGCACTTTTTATTAGGGAAAACCAAGGGTATTTGCTTATCTCTATACCTACTCAGGTTCACTGTCAAGAGTTTTCCTGCCCTTGTACCATCAAGGGCCTAAAGGTAATTTGGAGGTCATGGAAGTAGTACTGATTGAAAAGGGAGAAGCGTTTTGAGGACCAAGTGAAGTATTGAATAATATCCTCAACTGAGAGTGTCTTTTTACCTGTTTTGAATTTTTTTTTCACAGTTCCTCTGTTTTACTAGACTTATCATTACTTTGATTCTACAAAAACAGTAATGGTCAGATCTTTGACTTCTTAATTTTTAACTTTTAATCTTTAACTCACCAAGACTGTGCCCTTTCTTTTCAGAGGTTTCCTGACTATGACTACTTCACCTTTCTCATCTAAGTCCATGGCTCTAATGATGTTTAGGTTTGACTCTGGTTGACCCAACCAGCCCAAGTTGTCTTTCCCTTCGTGTATCTTACCTAATAGCCCGCACCAACACCATTCAAATTGTGTTGCTCATTTTCTGAGCGTGGGGCTAAGATGCTTCCCAGCTTCCTTTATGAGTAGGTCTGCGAACTGCTTCTCTGTCTGTGTACTTTTCTCTACTTATGGGCGAGCTGGAAGACAAAAATAGGGACTTGTGGGATTGCTTCATGTACTTGAGGCCTGCACAACTAGTTGACTTTCATATGCAGGGGTAAAAGGCAAGACTGACATCCTACTTGAAGCAAAGCTTTGCGGTTGAGCTGGACTGCTATCAAAATCAGCAATGCAAATTGTCAGCAGATGTTAGGGTTCAGGGTGACATTAAAGTCAGCTCTAACTACCTATGTGGAAATCACCTTGAGGTTAGATTTTACTGTTGAAGTCTATCTGCAAGTATATTCGAAAGTCACTCAAAAGTTGTAGTATTGCAGAATGCTTTTCTCCACCCCCCGTCCTTTAGAGCTTCAGTAGTAGACATCTGCCTGTCTTGCAAGACAACAGAATTGCACTGAGTGAGATATCAGCTTGCTGAATGCAGTCCTTGCTTGACATACTCAGGATTTCACTTCCAAGTGAGGTGCATAGTGACTCTTAACAAAGTCTTAAATTGTCTAGACCCAGGTTATATTAGAGGCTGCTTCTCCTCCTCTACATTGTCATAAGATAAGTAATGAAGCTCAGTATGTTCTCAACAGTAGGTGTTTTATAGCATTTAGTCCCACCAGAAGTGTATCTCAATCTATACCTGGATATATTTAGATTGCAGTATGTAACTCATCTCTGTCCAACAGCTTATCTGAAATTTCCTGTTATTTAGCCAATGGCCAAGTTTTCCAGGTCTTTATTTTAATGTATATATATATTTGGGGTAGAAGAGTAAAAGGTATTCAGGTTCTCAATTTGTAGGAGTACTTGTAGTAATTCCTCAATGTCAAGTGTACTCAGATGCCATGGAGATTAGAGCTTCATAAATGTATGTAATAATGACTTGATTGCTACTTCCATGCAGCACATTAATCACTCTGCACTTTTAATTTCACCCTATTTTATTTATTTCAGTCAGTTTTTGCACATTATATTTCAGTCTTATCCTCTAGAAATATAGGTTATCTGTTCCATTTAAGATCCTTCATAAATACATTCAAATCTATCCTTCCCATTTGTGGTGATATTCATTTGTATCAGCCTTGAATAAGATATGCCCCCACACACAGTACCTTCTCCCACTTTAGCACTCCATTTTATATTTGATTGGTATTTCTTTGAATAACGTGAATTATTTTCGTAAAATCTACAGGTTCTGTATGCGCTGTGTTTCCTATATATGCTAAGATTTTCAGCATTGTCTGTTTTGAGGAATTCTATTACTTATAATTTAATTTTTTCAAGACACTTGGAGTATTGACTAGTTTAGTCAGTCTGTTCTCCCGGGCTTAGCTGGCTAACGTTGTATCTCCTGTAACCTAGCTGTGTTCCCCTCTTTACCCCCATCCCTCTAATGTTAGTCCCTTGCTCGGGTGATCTGTATTTCCCTACCGGCTTTGTAATCTTTTTTGGATTCACAATCGTAAACATCTACTAATAAAAGTCAATTGTTCTGGGAGCTAGCCAGATAGTGAAGGCCATGCTTTCCTTTAATCCTCAGGACCTTCTCCATATTCCACAAGTTCGAAGATCGATTTGTCAGTGATGACTAGGGATCCGAGTTTTCCATTTCCCACGGAAAAATGGAGTAAAACCTAGATTTCCCCCCTTACTGAATTAAAGCGCGGATTTCTTATTTTAGCAGAGAAGCCCATGGATGTTTGCAGTTTGGGGCAGAGTTCCAGCCTGGAAGGAGCTGGGAGAGAGTGGGAGGAGGGCAGTCAGGCATGGGGCGCCATATGTATGTGTATGCACAGGCCCCAGGCAGCCTAGAGAGCAGCTCCCAGAGGTAAGTGGGGAGGAATTGAGGCTCCTATAGGGAGGGAGTTGGGAAGGGTTGGGGCTGCTGCGGAGCTGGGCAATGTACGGGGCTTTGGGCCTGGAGCTGCTGTGTGCAGCCACAGGGCCCCAGTGGGGAGCAGGACGAAGCTGCGGGTGGCTTGTCTGGGGGGGCGGTTCCCCGCTGCTGCATGTACTCCTGGGGGGGCATGGGGGACCTGTGCCCCCAGATCTGTGTGCGGGGCAGGGGTGGAGGCGGACTCGGGCTCCTGCCCTGCTGCCCTCCCCTGGAGCCTCTGCAGCCCAGAGGGTGCAACCCAGCATAGCAGGGCAGAGTGGGGCCATTCAGTAAAGCTGCTTGTTGCTGCAAGCCTGGCACTGCCCTGGCAATGTGACAGTGCGGGATTGTGTCCCTCACTACAGCTCCATGCACAGGGGACATGTCACCAGGGCATTGTGGGGCTTGCAACAGCGAGCAGCTTTACTATATGGCCCCACTCTGCCCTGCGCACTGGGTCACACCTGGCAGGCTGCAGAGGACCTGGGAGAGGGTAGAAGCTCAAGCCCGCAGCAGGCAGCCCATGCCTGCCCCCACACTGTGTACAGATGTGAGGGCATGGATCCCTCCTGCTCCCCCCCACAAGTGCACGTAGTGGCAGCAAGCTAGGCCCCCCGCTGTTTGAGCCCACAGCAGGCAGGCGGCAGGGGGGAGCCGGGCTCCGTACGTCTGCAACAGCCGCCACCTCCTACTGGGGGCAGGGGGCTGTGGACCCAGATCCCTAGTCCCATGGCCTTGGCAGCTGAGGGCCTCTTCCAGTAGGGTTGGGGGAGCAGTGGCTGTGGCTAGGGGGTGCGGGGCACCAGCAGGGCTATGGGAACTGAGGGAATTTGAGATTTTTTTTTATCAAGGAAAACCAGGATCCCTGGTGATTACACGATCATTCTTCCTTATTCCATGAGCACTGGTCTGTATGATCCTATCATCTTGATTAGCAGTCAGATTCAGTACCTACACAAATTGGAGACCTCCAAAGAACAAGTTGCTGCAATTGAAAGTAGCGTTGTTACCAGTATTTCTGTAGATGGTACTCCTTCCTATTAGTTAATACTGAGTTAATATTCCAGCATGGTGCTTGCAGATGTAGTGCAATATCTTTCCAGTAAGATATACAGTGGAATACTAGTTAAACACGGTGCCTTAGGATCATAAGAAAGTAGGGCTGGCGAGGACCTCATGACGTCTGGTCCAGCCCCCTGTTCAAGGCAGGATCCTCCCTGACTAAACCATCCCATTCCATCCTAATCTGCTCTTGAAAATATCTAGGGACGGAAAGTCCAAACCTCTCGAGGTAGGCTGTTCCAATGCTTGACCAACCTCCTAGTCAGAAAGTTCCTCCAAATGGCTGACATAAATTTTCCCTGCTGAAGTTTGAGGCTGTTGCTTTTAGTCCTGTCTGCTATGGCCCATCTCCATCCTCTCTGTAATCCCCTGTCAGGTTGTTACCTTTTGTTTGGATTTGTGCTTAGGAGTGAGATTAATCAATTCATAAAGCCATTCCAGTCATAACTTGAGAGCTTTATTAGGATACACAATAGCAAAAAGTTATTGGTACTAATAAAGACAATACTTATGCAGTCTTGGATTCGGGAAGGAGAGGTGTGCTAGTCAGGCATCTCTGCCTTCCTCGGGACTCTGCTGAGTTGTTTTTTTTCTGCTGAGCTTTGGGAAGGGTCCATTTTGTTGCTTGCCCCAGGCCTAATATTTATAGATGGTTGATTTAATATGCTGATATTTGATCTGATGCTAATATTTCTTATCTTCTTTATGGCTTGCCTTTTGGCCCTTGGTCAGTTATTTACTAACTGTGACCTGTGGCCTGACAAGGCTGCTCCGCTCTATCCATCATCAAGGCTGCCTTTGTGTCTAGAATTATTTGAACATGCTAGCAAAAATATATTTATTATAGCAAAATAACTATTAATACATTTGGTCACCTTAGTTGTTAATATGTTAGGATGCAATTGTAATGCAGAGTATTTAGGATGCAGACCTTGACTTGCTTTTCAGTC